GATAATGCACTTTGGGTACTTGATGTCGAATTTTGTGTGGTTATTGATTTTGAGCATGGTGGCTGAGGTATTTTATATGATGAAGACAATCTTCAAATGTTTTGCCAAAGAGTGTAAAATCATCCATAAAAATTACGAGAAACTTTTCAGCCATGTTAGAAAAAATTGCTGACATGCAACGCTGAAATGTAGCAGGGATGTTGCAAAAACCAATTGGCATTCTCTTATAGGCATATGTTCCATGAGGAGATGTGAAAGTTGTCTTTTCTTGATCTTCTGGTGCAATTGGTATCTGGTTATACTCTGAATAACCATCAACAAAATAGTAAACACCATATCCTGCAATTCTTTGCAATATTTGATCAATAAATGGTAAAGAAAAATGATCTTTTCTAGTAGCATTATTGAGTCATTTGTAATCAATACAGACTCTCCATTCTGTGATGGTCCTGGTAGGTATGAGTTCATTACTTTCATTTTTATAACAATCATACCTCCTTTCTTTGGTACTACCTAAATAGGGCTTACCTAAGGACTGTCTGAAATTGGGTAAATAATACCAGCTGCTAAAAGCTTTACAATCTCTTTTTTCACCACTTCCTACATTGCTGGATTCAATCTCCTCTGGGGATGGACAATTGGCTTGTATCTATCCTCCATGAGGATTCTATTCGTACAAACAACTAGATTAATGCCTTTGATATCTTCTACAGTCTACCCCGAGGCTCCTTTGTGTGCTTTCAATACTTAAATCAGTTTTTCTTCTTGTCCTGTAGTAAGAGAAGATGAAATCATTACCGAAAATAATTCTTCCTTAAGATAAATATATTTTAAATGAGATGGGAGAATTTTGAGTTCAATTTTTAGTTGAACTTGTTCTGGTTGCATCTCCTCATCTTTAGAATCTTTTTCTAATATTTCAGCTTCTCTTATGATCATAGGATAATCATCTTGTGTGGTGCCAGATTTGGCCTGTAACGACCCGACTTGTCATTTTTAGAATTTACGTTATGTTCAGTGACTTAAGGTCCCGAGCAACTTTGTAATATGTATTATGACTTGCGTGTGGGGTCGAGTTTAGTTTTCGGAAGATTCAGAATTTAATTGAAAGAACAATTCTCATATTTGAAGATTAAATGAAAACAGTTGACCGGAGTTTGATTTTTGAGAAAACGACTCCGAAATAGAGTTTTGATGATGTCAATATCTCCGTATGGTGATTTTAGACTTAGGCGTATGTCCGGATTTGTATTTGGAAGTCCGTAGGACAATTCAGCACATTTCGGCAAAAAGTTGGAAATTGAAGTTCTTGAAATATTCATAAATTCGACCGTAAGTCGATTGATTGATATCGAGGGAGGATTTTGATTCTGGAAATTGGAACAGATCCATTACGTCATTTATGAATTGTGTGAAAAATTTTAAATCATTCCGGATCGATTTGATACGTTTCGGCGCAAAATATAAAAGTTGGAAGATTTAAAAACTCATAATTCGATTCGATGCGCGATTCACAATTTCGGCGTTGTATGACGTGGCTTGAAGCCTCATCTAAGTTTGTATTATATTTTGGTACGTGTTGGCCTAATTGGTTAAGGTCCCGAGGGCCTCGTGTGGATTTCGGAAGGCTAACGGATTGGATTTTTGGATATTTGGAACTGCTGGATTTTTGGATTTGCTGGTGTTCTCGCTTATGCGGAAGCTTCATTGCAGAAGCAACGTTGGGAAGACTAGGTGGAGGTCACAGGTGCGAAGCAATTCCCGCACTTGTGTGATCGCAGAAGCGGGCAGAGAAGACACAGAAGCAGAAGGCATCACAGAAGCGAAAATGCCTCCGCAGATGTAAGGCTTCAGCTGGCCAGTGGACTTCGCAGAAGCGTGTTTCCGCTCGTAGAAGTGAGCCGTAGATGCGATAATTTTTTTCGCAGAAGCGGAACTGGGCAGAATCATAAAGACCAAAAATGGTCATTTCTTCATTTTCGATTGGGATTTTCGGAGCACGGTTCTTGGGCGATTTTGAGGATTTCTTCATGACTTTGACTGGAGTAAGTGTTCTACATCCGAAAGTGATTATATTTCATAAATCCATGGTTATATTCATCGTTTAATTCGAGTTTTTGGAGAAAATTGGAATTTTTGTAAAACTTTTCAAAACGGAAATTCAAGATTTGGAAAATGATTTTTTATTGGAATTCGATAAAATTGGTATGGTTGAACTCGTATCGGAATAGGTGTTTGGATTTCTTGAAATTTCTGTCGGGTTCTGAGAGGCGGGCCTCGCGTTGACTTTTAGTTGTCTTTTTAATGCAAAATTTTAAGTTGACGCTTTATTATTCGAAATTATTTTTGATGAATTTTAATGAAGTTACACAATTAATTTGGACAGATTTGAGTTGTCCGGAGGTCAATTCAAGCAAGAAGGTTATTTTGGAATATCGACATATCTTCAAAAAAGATAAGTATCTTGCCTAACCTTGAGCGGGGGAATTATCCCTTAGGCATTGAGTCGTATGTGTCATTTGTGCAATGTAAAAGCCGTGTACGCGAGGTGACGAGTACGTACTCAGGCTTATATATGAAAATTTTATTGCTTGAAAGTCTTAGGCATTTTTATGTATTACATTGGAAATTGCTGGCACTTATTAATCCTTATTTGTCATGCCTCATTCTTTGGTTGTCGAATTTGTTTTATATGATAATTTGGTTTGATTGCTACTTTGATTTTTATGTGAATTCCGTGTGCTTGTTGAGTTGACATTTCCTGGAAATAATTACCTTATGGATTTTCCATCTGCAAATAATTAATTAAATAAGTTTAAAAGAGGCGTTAATATATTTATCAGAAATTTGGATTTAAGAAGAGGTTGTTCTTGCTGAGTTATTCTTCCGTCTTTGTTGTTTGCATATTTACTTTTGGGACTGCGAGGCATTACCTCAGGATATCCTCCTATCTTGCATATTTACTTTTGGGACTACGAGGCATTACCTCGGGAGATCCCCCTTGTCTTGCATATTTACTTTTGAGACTACGAGGCGGTTCCTCGGGAGATCCCATGTTCCGTATTTACTTTTGGGACTACGAGGCGGTACCTCGGGAGCACCCCTGTTGTTTACCTCTATTTGCTGTTGAGGGTAGGCTATAATTACATGTTTTAGTCGCTTATTTAACTCTAATTTACTGCACTTTAACTGAGTTTGAGCTTTAATCGCTAGTGTTTTGCACTTATTGTGTGGTTTATGCCTTGTAAGAGTGATTCCGAGCAATGCAGATACTATGGAGCGAATTCGAGAGAATTGGAGCTTTGAAGTCTGAGTAAAAGCCCAAGGGATTAAGCCGGGATCGTGTTCGTGGGTCGAGGACCAAGTCTGGATGTCAAAATCGATGCAAAATCCATACTCTAAGAAATTTGCACTAATGCAACGCACTGTGCGATGCGCTAGTGCAAATTCTGCCCAGAACTCAAATTGTAATTCATACTGGAAATATCCACTACCGCGTTGCATGGTGCGACACGGTAGTACAAATTTGTTAGAGTATTGTCCCATTTCCGCTAAAAAGGGTATTTTCATCCGGGGTTTATTGGGGGCGGCTTAGATACACCAAAACACCATGTTAGAAGGACATTTGGATAGATTTCGACCTAAGAAGGCTAACGAGGAGTTGGAAGAACACAAGCACAAGGATTTCATCATTCCTTCCTTAATCAAGATCCGGGTTTGGATTGAATTTATGTTTTCCTATACTTTATTTTCATTTGTGAAGAACTTCTCCATGTCTATGGAGTAGATCCTTTTGGGTTTTGATGTATTTGGTGTATTGATGATTGTTTGTGGATTATAACTCTATTTTTATGTATTTGAATCATTTTGAAAGATTTAATTGTTGCATCTATATTCACTTGTTCTTGTAATCGAAAGAGGCATCACTTGTGATATCTTTGCATTATATTGTTGGTTGAGATCATAGATTCTTTTAAGTAATCGAAAGAGGCTAGTTGAATCATTGATTAAATCTAGTTAGGAGAATAATCGAAAGAGGTTTTCCTAAAGACCGATCCACTATGCATTCTTGCATATCTTCACAGTGCTTAAATTGATTCATCTCGTGAGGTTAAGACTTAATCGAGAGAGGAATTTTTGATGAATGTTTGAACTAATAATAGAGTGAATTTGAGAGACTCACTTGAACATTGGAAGTGAATTATCTTGCACTTATTCCATCAAAACCTTATTTTCTCCTATTGATAACTTCCTTGCTTACTTTTGTTGCGATTGTCATTAGTCAATAGCTGTGGATTTTAGATTATTAATTATATAAATCTCAACTGTTGATCCTCCTGGATAGCAATCTAGTTACAAACTACGATAATACTGTTTAAATCCAATCCCCGTGGATACAATAATTATACTATACTATCTTTGACTAGCAAGCACAATTTAAGTGTGTGTTTTGCACTCGTCAGCTGTGTTGTTGTCTTTCTCTAAATTCTTATTTGTTCACTTATCAGTCATTTCATTATATTATTTTGTCTTCTGCCTTGTGAATTGTCCATGTGGTTGCGATAGAGGTATGTGCACGAGGTGCCATGGAAATATGAAAGTGGGCTGAGACCCGTTATTTTTATTATTATGAAATGAGGTGTCATATGATGACTTTTACTTGAAAAGAATTTTATTCGAAAGTAATTCATTTGAAAGAATTATATTTGAAAGATTTTATTTGAAGAAATATATTCAGAGATATTTATTTGAAAGAATTATATTCGAAAGATTTTATTTGAAAAATTATATTCGGAGATATTTATTTGAAAATATTATATTCGAAAGTGGGTACTAGGCTGAGAGTGAGGTCTTTGAACATAGGAACTTTGACTGGAAAATCTGTAGAGTTAGCGAAGATTCTCGAGAAAAGGAAGATTAAAATAGCTTGTGTACATGAGACTAGGTGGGTAGGAGATACGGCGCGGGATGTGGGTAGTTTGGGCAGGAATGGGGTAGGTATGTTGGTTGATAAAGACCTCTGTGAACTAGTGGTGGAGGTTAGGAGGGTGAATGACAGGCTGATAACTATTAAGCTAGTTGTCAGAGGTTTTACTTTGAACATAATTAGTGCATACGCACTCCAAGCAGGCTTGGATGAAGAAGTCAAGAGGCGTTTCTGGGAGGATTTGGATGAGATGGTGCGTGGTATCCCGTATATCGAGAATATTTTCATATGAGGATATTTCAACGGCCACATTGGAGCGACATCTGGGGGGTATGATGATGTTCATGGTGGCTTTGGTTTTGGAGATAGAAACGGAGGAGGAATGTCTTTGCTGGACTTTGCTAGAGCATTTGATTTGGTGATAGAAAACTCGAGTTTCTCGAAGAAGAGGGATCACTTGGTCACCTTACGGTGTTCAGTGGTCGAGACTCAGATTGATTATTTACTCTGCAGGAAGTGATAGAGGTCTTTGCACGGATTGCAAGGTCATCCCGAGTGAGAACCTCTCAACCCTTCATAGGCTCTTGGTCATGGACCTTGAGATCACGAGGTAGAGGAGGATGAGGGCGATGTATAGATAACATAGGATCAAGTGGGGAGCCTTGATGGAAGCTAAAACGCAGGGGTTGGGGGCCAAGCCGGTGACTATGGGGCCTTAGAGGAGTAGTGGGGACGCAAGCGCTATGTAGACCATGACTGTGCAGTGTATTAGGGAAGCTGCGAGAGAGGTATTAGGGGTCTCAAAAGGTTACTCTGGTGGTCACAAGGGAGACTGGTGGTGGAATAGAGAGGTGCAAGGAAAAGTGGAAACCAAGAAAGCAGCGTATCTGAAGCTAGTGGAGAGAGTAGATGAGGAGGAGAAGAGGGCGAATAGGGAGCATTACAAGCTGGCTAAGAAAGAGGCAAAGTTAGCAGTTATGGTGGCCAAGACTGCAGCTTTTAGTTGTTTGTATGAGGAACTCGAGGGCCGAAGTGGGGATAAGAGGTTGTTCAAGTTAGCCAAGGCACGAGAAAGGAAGGCGGGAGACTTGGACCAAGTTAAGTGCATCATGGACAAAGAAGGTAGAGTTTTGTTCAATGAGGGGATTATCCGTCGGAGATGGAAGACCTACTTCCATAGTCTCTTGAACGAGGAGGGGTACATGAGCATTGTCCTGGGTGATTTGGAACTCTCCGAGAGTTATTGTGACTTTGGGAATTGTAGGCGGATTAGAGTTGATGAAGTTGAGGGGGCTATGCGTAAGATGAACAGGGGCTAAGCGATCGGGCCGGATGAAATCCCGGTGGAGTTTTGGAAGAGTGCAGGCAAGGCAGGCTTGGAGTGGCTTACTAGGTTATTTTAATGTCATTTTTAGAACGAAGAAGATGCCCAAAGAGTGGAGGTGGAGCACGATGGTTCCTGTATACAAGAACAAGGGTGATATCCAAAATTGCAATAACTATCGGGGTATCAAGCTGCTTAGCCATACTATGAAAGTCTAAGAGAGAGTGGTAGAGCTAAAGGTGAGGAGGAGTGTGTCTATTTCCAAGAACTAGTTTGGGTTTATGCCGGGGCGTTTGACTACAGAAGCCATCTACCTTGTTAGGAGATTGATGGAGCAGTATAGGGAGAGAAAGAAGGACTTGCATATGGTGTTCATCGACTTAGAAAAGGAGTACGATAAAGTTCTGAGGGAGGTTTTGTGGAGATGTTTGGAGGCCAGAGGTGTACCTGTTGCCTACGTTAGGATGATTAAGGACATGTATGATGGAGTAAAGACCCGAGTGAGGACGGTGGGTGGGGACTCAGACCATTTTTCGGTTATGATGGGGTTGCATCAGGGGTCGACACTCAGCCCTTTTTTTGTTTGCTCTGGTGATGGGTGTACTGACGTGCCACATCCAAGGGGAGGTGCCGTGGTGCATGCTATTTGCAGATGATATTGTATTGATTGACGAGACGCAAGACAGTGTGAATGCGAAATTAGAGGTATGGAGGCAGACCCTGTAATCTAAAGGTTTCAAGTTGAGCATGACCAAGACAGAATACTTGGAGTGTAAGTTCTGTGGCGAGACTCAAGGAGGGGAAGGGGAGGTGAGGCTGGACTCGCAGGTCATCCCTATGAGAGGGAGTTTTAAGTACCTTGGGTCTATTATTCAGGGGGATGTGGAGATTGATGAAGATGTCACACATCGTATTAGGGCAGGATGGATCAAATTGAGACTCACTTCTGGTGTTTTTTGTGACAAGAAGGTGCCACCGAAACTTAAGGGTAAGTTCTACAGAGTGGTGGTCAGAATAACGATATTGTATGGGGATGAGTGTTGGCCAGTCAAGATCACTCATGTCCAGAAGATAAAGGTTTCAGAGATGAGGATGTTGATATGGATGTGCGGGCACACCAGGTTTGATAGGATTAGAATTGAGGTTATTCGCGACAAGGTGGGTGTGGCCCCTATTGAGGACAAGATACGGGAAGCACGACTTAGGTGGTTTGGTCATGTGAGGAGGAGGAGCACAGACGTCCCGGTGAGGAGGTGTGAGAGGTTGATATTGGAGGTCCTACGGAGATGTAGAGGTATGCCAAAGAAGAGGTGGGGGAGAGGTGATTAGGCAAGACATGGAGCAGCTTCAGCTAACCGAGGAAATAACCCTTGATAGGAAGGTATGGAGGCCAAGGATTAGGGTAGTAGAGTAGGTAGTCTAGAGTGTTCATAGCACTAGTATTGGCACACACTCTCGCTTTCTGTTGGTAGTAGGTTTTTATGACTAACCGTTATTTTCTTTCATTCTTGATCACCTTACTATCTGGTTGTTTTTATTATGCTTTTATATGGCTTCTTGGTACGGTCCCTTCTTGTCTATATTTTCATTAATGTGGTGCTTATACTTTCCTGAGCCGAGGATCTATTGGAAACAACCTCTCTATCCTCACAAGGTAGGGGTAAGGTCTGCGTATACACTACCCTCCCCAGACCCCACGGTGTGGGATATTACTGGGTATGTTGTTGTGTTGGAACTATATTCGAAAGACTTTATTTGAAGTATTATATTCGGAGATATTTATTTGAAAGAATTATATTCGAAAGCTTTTATTTGAAGAATTATATTCGGAGATATTTATTTGAAAGAATTATGTTCAAAAGATTTTATTTGAAGAACTATATTCAGAGATATTTATTTGAAAGAATTATATTCGAAAAGTTTTATTTGAGGGAATTATATTCGAAAGACTTATAGATAAAACATGTATATTTTGAACGACTTGATTAATTGGTTGTGTTGTGTTCATTATTCATTTGGGCAATTTTTATGGTGTTCTTGTTGCCTTGCTATTTATATTACTAGTTGATTATTGTTGCTATCATTGCTAGTTTTTTTCCAGTACTATTGTATACAGCTATATTGCACAGGCTGTTTGACTAGTGAGTGTCTCGACTGTACCTCGTCACTACTCCACCGAGGTTAGTCTTGATACTTACTGGGTACCGACTGTGTTGTACTCATACTACACTTCTGCACATATTTGTGTAGAGCCAGGTGTTGGAGATATCGGATTCGGACAGAGATTAGAGTGTGATCGCAAGGATTCAAGGTAGGACTGCTTGGTCGTCACAGTCCCTTGGAGTCTTTCCATTAATTATACTGTCATCTCTTATTCAAACAATATTGTATATTCAATCCTTGAGATCATTGCATATATTCAGTTAGAGTTCGTGACTCTATATTGCTAGTCTTGGGGGTTGTTATAATTATTTTCGCTGTTGGTTTCAACACTTGTATGAAATTATATGTTTAAAAAAATAACTCGAATTGTAATTGTAATCGGCTTACCTAGTCTTAGAGAATAAGTCCTATCACGATGCCTATGGTGGGATTTTGGGCCGTGACATGGCCAAACATCTTTCCATTGAGTCTGGAATTAATTGATCATCTTTGAATTCATCTGTAAGATAACGAATCATGTCAATTGAAAAACACGAAGATGATGCCTCATCTCCTGAAAACCCTAGTATCTTTTGCATATAAAAAATGACTCTTTCTTCATAAACTCTCAAAATTAGTTGTCCTTGATGGACATCTATGATTGCTCTACCTGTAGCAAGAAAAGGTCTACCCAAAATTATCGGTTCATCAGGACATTCCTTCATTTCAAGTACTATGAAATCCACAGGAAAAACAAACTTATCTACTCTTACAAGTACATTTTCAATTATTCCCTTAGTTGTCTTAGTACTTTGATCTGCAAACTGAAGAGAAACACTTATATCTTTCATTTCACCGAGATTCAATTTTCTAAAGATAGAAAATGGCATCAAATTTATTAAAGCTCCAGAATCACAAAGTGCTTTTTCAAAATATACTCCTCCCAATGTGCATGGTATTGTAAAACTGCTTGGGTCACCAAGTTTTTGTGGTAGCTTATTTTGAAGTATAGCACTGCATTTTTTAGTAAGCATTACCACAAAAACTTCTTCCAATTTTCTTTTGCTTGACAAAATTTCTTTTAAAAATTTGGCATATGAAGGCATTTGTAATAAAGCATCAGTGAACGAAATATTGATGTGAATCTATTTTAAAATCTCCAAAAATTTTGCAAATTGACTATCAAACTTTTGTCTTTTCATTTTTTGTAGAAAAGGAATTGTCACGGGGAGAGGAGCCAATTTTTTCAATATTCCTTTCTTCTTTTTTCTTGACTTCTTTCTCCTCTGATGGTTTTTCAACATTCTTACCATTGTCTACATGTTGTTCTAGTTGGTTCTTTTCTTATCTGTCTCCATAAGGTTCATCGAGTTCCTTACCTGACCGTAAGTTGATGAACTTAAGGTGATATTATGGGTTTTACTCTGTATTGATTGGTAAGGGACCCTGAATCTTTTCTAACACAAGAGCTGCCAACTGGCTCAACTGAATTTCCAGATTTTTGAGGGATGATTTTTGGCTCTCCATCTTTTCATTAGTGACCTTAATGTACTTGTACAAAAGGTCTACAAGACTAGGATGGGCTTGTTGAGGCCTTTGCTGATATGGAATTGCTTGCTGATAAGGTCTGAAGTTTGATTGACCATGGTTTGGATTCTGGTATCCAGGTGGACCTTGTATTCGTTGCTTCTTGAATCTTTGAGAGTTCTCAGCACCATTTGGATTGCTCTATTGAAATCCTGGATATTTTTTAGCCATTGGACTTCCAAAAGGATACTGCTTGTAACCGATGATATTGATATGTTCATCATTGTGATTGGTTGCTTGACATTCATGGTTGTGATAGTTTCCTCCACACATGTCACAAGCCTCAGACTGGCTTGGTTGTTGTGTATTCACCTAAAAAGATTCAAACTTTTGTGCCAAAGAAATAATTTGTTGTGTTAGTGTATTTAAAGCGTCTGGCTGATTTACTCTAGCAACCTTCTTGATGATTACACGCTTAGATGGCCATTGGATGGCATTCTCAAAAATTTCATTCAATAATAGAAATGCTTCCTCTTTGGTTTTTCCCATTACGGAACCTCCTGCAACTGCATCTATCACATTTTTAGAAGAGGGTTTAAACCCGTGATAAAAAAATGTACAACTGTACATGTTCAAGAATATCATGATGTGGAAATTTTCTTAATATTGCCTTTAATCTTTTCCAAGTTTGATATACTCACTCAGTGTTAGTCTGCAAGAAATTAGATATGTCTTGTCTTAACTTTGTGGTTTTAGCAGGGGAGAAATATTTGTTTAAAATGTTTTGAGTCATCTGATCCCATGTTGTAATAGATGCTTGAGGCAAACTTTGAAACCAAGTCTGGGCGTCTCCTTTTAAAGAAAAAGGAAATAACCTTAACTTGATTGCTTTAGGAGATACCCCATTATACTTAGCAGTTTCAACAAGTTCCAGAAAATCAATTAAATGACTGTGTGAATCTTCACTTGAATCTCCAGTGAAGATACAAGATTGTTGAATTGTTTGAATCAGGTCGGTCTTGATTTCAAAGTTGTTGGCTGCCACTAGGGGTTTCCTGATACTAGATTCACAGTTGAAGTGGTCTGCTCTAGCATAATCTCTTAGGATTCTGTTTGCTGGCCTTTGCGCCATTTCATCAAATTGTTCATCTACATGGGCTGGTGGTGGAATTTCCAGTGGGTTGCGCTCTTCTACTTCTTGATTCTCCATTCCTTCACAAGCTATGCTTTGAGAAGATAATGCTTGTCCTTTCCTGCGCAATCGAAGAGATCTTTCAATT